GTTCTTGCCTTCTCTTTTTCATAATTTGTCGTGGGGTGCGATGTCAGGTAGAAAGCAGGGAGAAGGTGCCAGGAAAGTACATGTGCAAACAAGTCAGTGCTGATGTTCGAGCATGATTTAAAAGCATTGTTTGTGATCAGAGGTGCTCTTGCTAATTATATACTTTTTATATAACGTATTTCCTCATGTCACCACAATTTGTTTTGTCGTCTTGTCATCTTTGGCTCTTAACATGTACTGTAAAAGGACTAGCAGTTTCTGGCCGTAGACTAAAATTTATTTAAATCAATGATTCCAAACTTTAGGTTTATGACAGTGTATTACCTAATTTGTAACATGAATGCTTTCTTTAAAATTTAAAAATATTTATGCTTGTACTTATATTACACAATATTCCTTAAGTTAATCTTAGATATATGTCTATTTTTTTTTTTTTTAATCAACTTGGGATCTTTTGTTTCAGCCTTATCTATAGAACACGGTATTATTTCTACCTTTACCTGTAAATAAGAATTGTATATATTCTGTAGTCTCTGTTAACAGATATTGAGGAAGGATAGTATACCATCATTTATTGGGCTTCCCAGTGTAAGTATAGTTTTTTTACTTTCAGTACGTTAAGGATCAAGTCATTTTAGTCCAGGAAACAACTTTTTAGGCAGACGCCCAACGACTGAGCCACTCACGCGCCCCAGTCCAGGAAATAACTTTATACTACTTTTCTAGCAGAAACACCACTGTTACTTGTAGTGACCCACCTATCAATGCAACCAACTTCATACAAGCTAGTATACATAGTTTAATGGGTGTCAGGCACTGTGAGGCTACAAAATGTATACAACTTTTATATTCCGAATAAAAGTATAATACTGTGCTCTACTGTGGATGTGGCTGAGGCAGGTATCACAGACTTTTTTTTCTTAAACATACACAGATGCAACCCTCTAAGATTTCTTCTACTTAAACAAATTGTGGCAAATATATTCTAAGCACCTTTCATATTTTAACTCATTTAATATTCATAGTTCTGTGGCATCAGTGCTATTACATCTATTTTATAAACAAGCATACTGAAGCCCAGGGATGTTAAGTAGTTTAATCTTCCTCATCCCCTTTATACCGTGTGTCTTTTTCTTTGCTGTATTTTCCTGGGTGTGGTGCGCAGCCAGTCCAGCGGCAGAGCCAGGCAGTCTGGTTCAAGTCTGTCTTACTTATGTCTCCCAACATAATTATTGGTTTCTCAATTCTTTATTAACCAAGTTCACTAAAAGTACTTTTACTTAAAAATAAAAAATTTTAAAAACCTGTTTTTTTTTTTTTAAGATTTTGTTTGACAGAGAGAGACACAGCGAGAGAGGGAACACAAGCAGGGGAAGTGGGAGAGGGAGAAGCAGGCTTCCCGCTGAGCAGGGAGCCCGATGCGGGGCTCATGACCCGAGCCGAAGGCAGACGCCTAACGACTGAGCCACCCCAAAAAACCTTTTCTAACTTTTACTAAACTATTTCCTTTTTAAGCAAAACATGATAATTGTTTTAAAATTGTTTTTCTCGGGGGCGCCTCAGTGGCTCAGTCGGTTGAGGGTCCGACTCTTGGTTTTGGCTCAGGTCATGATCCCCAGGTTGTAAGATCAAGTCCGGCCTCAGGCTCCACGCTCATCAGGGAGTCCGCTTGAGATTCTCTCTCTCTCTCTCCCTCTGCCCCTCCCCCTCTTGCATGAGCATGCTCTAATATTTAAAATCTTTAAAAAGTTTTTCTTGAATACATTTGTTCAAAGACCTGCAACTTATAGCTAACTTATTAGAAAGTACTAGCACACCGAACAATCCTTTGAGGTATCATCACTGACTTTGCAACACCTGTCGAAGGTGATACTTTTTCTTACTACGGGTAGTTTACTGTTGCATCCACACAGTAATGAGGAGTGTATCGGTATTTGATTAATTTCCTCATCCCCCTCATCTCTACCAAGGTGTCACAGATTTCAAACATTGCCAATAATAATTATACTGATAAGGAGAAGATACTTGTAATTCTTTTACTTGTCAAAATAAGGGAGTTTAATATTTTATAAATTGAGTTTGCTGTTAAATCTTCAGAATTTTAAGATTTAGGTCTTCCAGTTTTCTGTATAATTGCAATAAATTACATTACAGGTGGTACACTTGCATCTAAATTCTAGAAGTAATTAGTGTGTAATCCTGGAAGGTCTATCAGGAAGCTGTTTCTATTTTTGGATATTGGACATTTTCTTTGTAGATTATGGTTATGAACATTTAAAATTTTATATTTAAATTTTAATTTTTAGATTAATAGAGTTTTGTGAAAGGTTACCATCTGAATGTTCCATATTTCTCTCATTGTTAGAGTAAACTACCTTGTGTTCTTTTGTCATTAATTTTTCGGTAGTATTTGCTAATGTATATTAAATGTGTATCAGTACACAAACACACCATAGGGATGATATGTAAAAAATGGATGTCAGAGTTTGATCACAACAGGTAGTTTTTACAAAGATTTCCTCAAGATTTGTTAGAGTTGTAAAAGATGATTCCAAAAAGCATACTTGACCTTGTAAAATATGGCAGAGGAAAAAAAATACATGATATAGAAATATTCTTCTCTAGAAGCAGAGAATTCCAAATATCAGTGTGCTTACATAGATAATAACTTTTGTTGTCATAAGCTCATCTACACTGTCCCCACATCTTGGGCTTTAACCAGTTTTTAAATGTTCAGCAGATTCTAAGTGAATGTATTTCTGACATATCCTTTTCTGTGTTGTAGGCATAGCTCTGAGCCAACATCAGCTGTCAATTCTAGGATATAATTTAGAACTGTGACACACTCAATTTATGCTGTGAAAAGTTTTATAGAATTGTTTTCAGTATTAACGGTATTCCTATCTCCAAGACTATTGGACATTTCTGTAATTTCTATTCCACTTTAATTTTTGACATTGTTTTCTGTTTGTTATAACAAGGCAGTACTCCTCTCACAATTTTGGGCTAGATTCGATTCTTAGGAGATTTGTTCTTTCTTCCTTCCCACTTAAATTTATTGAAAACTACTGTTTTCATGGCTATTTGCCTCTAAAAGCAATTGTTCATAATTGAGGCAGATTTTCCCTTGTAGGAGTTCACAGCTGTGAAGAGAAAGTTCTCTTTCCCAGTGGGTTAATAAATAGGCTTTTGTGAGAATTTACTGGAATATTTTTCCTGATTAAAGAGTCAAAGACTAAGAGTCTGTTGTTCTTGGTGCTAAAAGAACCAAAACACCTGCAGCTGAGCATTTACACTTTGGAAAGCAGAACTAACATAAGGCCTTCTTTTGCACAGTGAGTAGTTTGACAGCTACATTTTTTCTTAAAAAAATTAAAATGCAGACATGACCTTTGTTCCAAATTAGAGGTTTTAACAGTGAAAGCTCATGCAGTCAAAATAAAATTCATAGGCAGTATTTCCTACACAGGATAGCTTTGTGCATTCTGTTAATGGTGTAATGGATATTTAACTGGCAAATATGAAGCCTTTTACTATGTCCACTGATTTATGTTAACACTCCCCTTTCTTGTTCCACTTTGCTTCTTAATCACCCTACTCATAAAAACCTTGCTTTGGAAAAATGCATCCCTGCTATAGGCAATCATTATTGTTAGTCCAACCCACGCCACTGTCCGCTTTCTTAATGGCATCCCAGTTTCCGTCCTAGTCTCGCTGTTAGGTGTACTGTGAGGGGAGCACGCATAATAAGCTAACCTTCCTGGGTTTAAGTTCTGGCTCTGCCATAGTGGCATGGCCTTGAGTGAGCGATTTATTTAGTCTCTGTGGCTTCAGTTTCCCTCTGTAAAATGGCGAATTACTATACCTCCTCATATGCTTGTTCTGAGGACTAGTTAACATTAGTTAATATCCTCAACACACATCTCATTCTCTAGTCCCTTGCCCCATTTTCTTTTTTTTCTTAAAGATTTTATTTATTTGACAGAGACAGCGAGAGACGGAACACAAGCAGGGGGAGTGGGAGAGGGAGAAGCAGGCT